CCCCCCCCCGAAAGGGGAGGAGAGAAAAACCAATATTCGATCAGGCGAAGCGTGGCCAAATCATCAACCATGCTCTTAGTCAAGAGCACATGTGTTGAACACAAACCGGGCGGACAGTACTATCCAAATAGCACACTCCCGGCAAATTTGCAAACGTCTGCGATAGCAGACGGATAAGCGCGAATCAATCGGAGTCTGGAAAGTTGGAGTCTGGCTGTGTCGATTGTGGCCATCGTTCACCGCTCTGCGGGGAACTTTCGGTTGCCTTCATGGCCGGACAACATAGCTTCTCAGACTCTGAGGGCGGCAATAAAGCCTTTGGACCCCCCTCGATTTTTGAATACCTCCTAAGGGAAGGAGGAGCTGACAAACAGCGGCACAGACCACTGTCGACTCCGAATACTTCCCAAGGGAAGAGGAGAAGCGCAGTGGATGCATGAATGGAAATCAAAATCGAAACCATGAAATCAGTTATGTGAAATGGTTCCACCTTGAATAGGCTCTTAAGACCACTCGCATAACCGAACTACTGAAGGTTACTATTGAGTGACAATTAAGTGGCTACTGAGCCTTAGTCGCGTTCAAAAGCGAATAAAAAGCAAAGGAAAAATCGTGAGAAGATGCGCTATTCCGAACCTGGAATTCATGCCGCTGGCTACGTCGATTGTGGTCATTGTTTGCCGTATCCGGTGAGCTTTCGGTTGCCTTCGTAGCTGGTGGATAGGAGTTTCAGATCTCAGAAGTAGCTAGCGTCGTGTTCTACCATTTGAAGCCTAAACAATGCGAATCCCACAAGTTGGCCTGGAATGCCAAAATTACGATTGCTTTGTAAGCAACATGCAAGAACAGGCCTACTTAAGCTAGGCTTGTGATGAAATTGAAGAGTAGGAGCACCAGGTGCACAGGGACAATGCTAGATAATCATTAGCAATAGAAACTGTGGTTATAATAAAGTCTTACAAATCAATCTTACCCACAGACACGGTCGAGATGACTGATCCAAGCGCACTCTGCATCCGAGACATAGCAGGGTTAGAGTCAGATGGCAGAGCACTTAGAGAGTGGTAACGACTTCACCCCAGTGGCCAATACGCCGCAATGTTGAACTGGAGTCCAGAGAGCCGATATGGCTATGCTCAATCGAGACCACGCCGGCAAAGCGGAACCCCAACGCAAGATGCAGACTCCAAAAATGAGTCGACAATGTTCAGGACTGTCTTGCAGCGTGGTCCAGCATGAGAGCAACAACTCCAAAATAGTCGACAGAGTGTCCAACATTGCATAAATAAACCTCAAGCCTCATAGTGTGTTAGCCCACTTGTTCCTCATAGTCATTGTCTTCTATGATATTATTATTAGTTGCTCAATCTATCCGTGCCGACTTCAAGTCAGCAGCCATTCTTTGATTATCATTTCATGATCAGCAGGGTGTACTCATACACGAACGCAGAGAATGAAATGAATTCTGAAGAATGTGGCTGGAAGCTAATTCCAAATGAGCAAAGAATTATCCATTACAGATAGAATGAATGTCGAATGGAATACCAGCAACTGCTGTCTGGTGGACATATGTGACTTCCTGGAATGTGTTCACTTCATGGGGCCAAGAGTGCTGGTCGATCGAGTGAAAATGCTGGCCATCCTGACCAGCAGGAAAAGCGAAATCAGCAATCTAGAACTTAGAGTGCAGCACCTTGAAAAGGTGAGAAGTCACGTCCAAAAAGAAAACGCAAAGTCCAACAAGGGGCTCTCATAATGTGCTGTGTGTACATATATTGCCGTTTTAAGATATACCACATTGAAAGACACACCGATGGTGGAAGCGCGATGGTGGAAAGCGACTTGGAGACCGAAGAACCCTATGCCATGGACCATGAGCAAGGCGAAAATGAAAGCCTGTCAGATCGTGGTGATGAGACGGATGATTCGGTCACGGATGTATAATCAATAATGTGTAGTAGTAACCATTTTCAAGATATACTTCGACAATATTGTGTATGGCTTTCAAACCAATATAGTGGCCCTTTCATTGAATTGATTGTATGTGAACAATGAATTGTGCGCTGAATAAAGCAATTGGGAACAATGTACGAAACTCGAAAAGTTGGAGTGGTAACAACCGCCATGTCTCTTACGCTGACTAAATATAATGCAAATTTTTCATGTCATCAACAATGCTTGACCAGTCGAAGCGAAATGATAGCACTCAAGAATGTCATGATATATGTGAGGGTGATAGTTCCAGGATTATTCTACGCAATGAAGGACCATGGGTGGTGTTTACCCAGACGGGTGTAGAGAGCCTAGAAACCCGGCTCCCTACCCCGAGCTGGGTGAGCATGGCCTACGGCCCAGAATGAAGAAGATATGGCTACACGCTGGGCGTCCCTCAACCCAAAGAAGAGATCGCCTGCAGCTGGTCAAAATGTGCTGAACAAGTGAGACTGGACCAAGGGAAGAGGTAAAGTGATGCTGTGACAACATTGTCTTGGTTTCAGGTAATAAGCAATGCATGAAATTCTAGCTGTAGCAAGGTTTGAAATTGCCATGGAAGTACGATAAGTGGTACTAGTGTGGCCAAATATGATGAGAATGCAGTACCAGCTGCGCATGTTGACAAACTACAAGTCTGTAAGGAGACAAAAATGCGAACAAGCGAACATGATGAAAAATCATTGCAGAATCGTTGCGGATAATTGGCCAGTTGGCCGGTATCGAAGAAGCAGACGACCGAGATCACTGGTGGGCATCGACAAGAAGAGTTGCCATGAACGCCGTTACGATCCTGAAGACTAGCAGATGCCCGTGGAAGCAGCATATGGCCGGCATGTAAATAGGGTTGTGCTGGTGTAATGACTCAAGATGAACTGTCCCGAATAAAATTTGAAGCAATGTGCTATGAATGTAAAATATAAGCCCAATGGTTTAAGCCGGAACCAATTTATTTACTACAAATATATGCATGAATGGCATGCAAGAACAGTAATAGTATGAGCATAATCGACCAATGTTACTTGCAGAGTTAGCAATTCACGATATGGCAATGTCAAGAGATGTCACACCAAAGCCAGAAATGGACACGCACCTGCGAGTCGATATCTACAAGTTTTTCGGCGCCACCCAGTTCCTGTATGTTAGTTTAACAGCCTTGTCTCGAGAAGATATAGATGAAAGCCCATTTCATGTATTGCAGGGGCCGCAATGTTCTTGTGTTGAAGGAAAGGATGATTGCTAACCTGCAAGATGCTGAAAATGAAAGGAGGAATGCGGCGAAGAACGAGAGCGAGAACAAGCGAGTTTTGGAAGAATTAAGGAAAAAGATACGAGAACTTGAGCATATGGCAATGTCAGACAAGGGCACTGTGATGAGAAATGGTGAGCAACTCCTTGGAAAATTGATATAAAAGTTGACCCTGGCTACAGTGTGTACATTTCTTTCCAGCTGATGACAAAGATGATGCAGCAGGTGGGCAGGCAAAAGCCTCAGCATTGCCTTCTACTCCAGCCCCATCAGCACCCACCAACGCACCCACTGTGGCGGGAGCATCTTCTACAGAGGGAAAGAAGAAGAAGAAGCGTGATACGGAATAGATAGAATTGCGTTGACAATTGAAGAATAAATGTTGTTGACTGAAAGATAATTGGTATATGTATGTCATGGTGTAAATTAGCACTTACATATATAAAGATAATACCCTCATGCTGCAAATTTGATAATAGAATGGTAACCCAGTGGTCTAGATCCAGGATCTGTTTACCGCGCAGTCGAGACTAACTGGTAACTGCTAGGGTTGCTTATATGAGCGTGACATGCAATACGAAATCTACTCATCTATCCCAGAACACTATTTTGGTTCCCCATCGAGCTATGGGTCGTGCTCGTCAGGACAGATATAGATAAGCCTGTGCTGAGATTATCTATACGGAACCTGATGAGCATAAACCAGCCTGAAATTCGGACTAAGAGTAGAAGTTTAGAGTTCATAAAGAGGTATATTTTCGTCGTGTACATGCGAATGGTCATCCGACCATAACACTTGTAGATAAACTAATGGGAAAGTGAAAATCACTTGAAAGATCTTTCCATTATTGCAGAAAACAACATGGCGAGCACGGAGCGAAAACAAGCATACGATTGTCGAGTCAGCGTCTATGCGCTCTTCGGATGTGTGCGAATACTGGGAAGAGATGTGCTAATAAACAAGAGGAAACTCTTGGCCATTCTATCCAGCCAACAATGCACCGTCAATAGTCTGAGATACAGACTGGAGCGAATGCAAAAGGTCAGTGAACAATGTGCATATGTGCATGATTCACGTTAGTGAAATGCCAGAGAGTCCCCGCTGGACAGAAATATTGTAGTTTAATACAGTGATTGCAGCAAATCACAATGCAACATATGACGTGTGACCAGATCACGGCAGACAAGAGTGAGATGGAGAAGAAGGAGCACCACGAAGGAGTGAATGAAATGATAGAAGGAGCACAAGAGCAACAAATGAGCTTGTGACTGGTGTAATAGTTTGTGCAACGATTATGCAGATATGTGTGTATGTCTATAAGTTGAGACCTGAGCATAAGTACGAGTATAAAGATGTGCGGATGTGTGCACTGGACAAAGTCATGTATAGCTATGCTGCAAAGGTTGGAAACCTTGCAATATATCTAGATCAATGTAGAATTATAGTGTGTATGATCGTGTACAATTGTTCAGTGAGCTCAATGTAAATAATTGCAGTGGTGATCGCTAATATCCTGTGGTCTAAGAGAAATGAGCGGCAGACGTGGTGGAGCCGTCGGACAGGCCTATAGACGCACGGAGGAGAGAGTCAGCGTTGACCTCTTTAAATTCTTTTCCTGCTTGCAGACCATGGAGTAAGTCCACCTAAAAGGATACAATTCTACACGGAAAACCATAGCAATTCTTTCTTTCAGAGATGAACCCAATGTACTGGTATGCAAAGATCGGTTGATTAACTTGTTGAATGAACAGCAACAACAACAGAGGGCCAAGGCAGCTAGTGAAGAGCACTTACGTGCTTACAAAGAACTCGCCGAGAAGGTGCAGGAACTCGAAAAACAGTTGGTTGCGAAACAAGGCGCCGAGATGACCCCAACAACATCGGGGAGCGGTAATACCGCAGCAAAGCGAGCACGAGCATCTTCCAGCTCGTCGACAACGAGCTCGGACAGTGACGTGGCAGTCGTGGAAGAAAAGAAAAAAGAAGCGGACGCCTTGAAGACTGCAGAGTCGGCAAAAAAGAAAAAGAAGGAATGAACAGACTGTTGTTCGTTGTGTTGTATTGTTTAGTATCTGTTATTTTCTTTTGTTTGAAATTCGGTGCAAGATAAAGTGTGAATCAAATTGGAAGAAAAATAATATGCAGAGTTACATATGCTCATATCATACCTTTGAGCTGTTGCACGATTTGTTTCAGGCCAGGGCAGACGATGTGAACGATGCGGTTGCCTTCGCAGCTAGCCAGTATGGCCATTCCGAACGAATTATGATAAGAAATACCAGTCTGTGATGTGATGACT